TCAGATTTGGTGTATCGTGAGCAACCGGTCCGTGTGCTAGACACTAAAGAACGTGCTACTCGGAATAGTGTGGTGAAAACATACAAGATACAGTGGAATCATCATGATGAGGGAGATGCAACTTGGGAAACGGGAGAATATCTATAAAAAGCTTATGAAGATTTTTATAACAAATGGTTTGTAACCTAAATCTCGGGACGAGATTTTTATAAGGGGGAGGGCTGTAACACCTCGGTGTTATGCCAGCATTTAGGCACTGCAAATCATGCATATTGTGCATCATCAAGCATCCTAAGTATCCATGCCTAATTATGTAAATAATAACTAAAACCATGCTTCGAAACATATGAAACATGCTCGTGAAACATGAATGTTGCATACACTTGTTTAGAGTTATTTTTGCCCTAATTATGCTTGCTAGGTTAGTAAAACATGTTTGGCTATAATTGTAAATCATCTAGAATTATTTAACACAGTTTTTGGAGCAAAGTTTGTATTCAAACTTTTGACAAAGTATGCATTTGAAATTTTTATTGAAAATGGTCAAAAATCCTCCCTATTTAGCTTTTGCTTCCCAAGTCAAAATCTATGCAAAATTTTTAGTTGGTCCCTAAAGCAAAGTTGTAGAGGATTAAATTCTAAGCAACTTTTATTTTTGGGACATTTTCAAAAGAAGTCATTTTCTTGCTCAAAAGGGTATTTGAAAACTAATATTTGAAAATTCCTTGAAAATAGAATTTGAAAAATGGTTTCTCTCCTTTCACGGGTCGCCGCCTCACTTCTGGCCCGCCAGCCGAAGCCGGCCCAATGATCCACCCCGCGCCGCGCCTTCGCCTCGGCCCAGCCCACCTCGCGCGCTGGCTTCCTTCTTCCCCCGCGTGCGAACGCGTCCGACCGCGTCAGGCACGCCGCGTCGCGTGGCGAGCGCCTACCGGCGACGCCGGTCGGGTGATGTCGCCGTTTTCAAGCCACCGCAGCTCCGCTTCTCCCTGCGCTTCTCATTTTTCTCTCCCGCGCTGCCTCTCTGTCTCGCCCCGCACCGAGCTCTGCTCACGCCGCCATCGCCACCGTAGCCCTGCCGACAAAATTTGCCGCCGATGCTCCACCATTGCCCTCAATCGAGCACACATCGCTCTGCCTCGCTCCCCGGCACCTGGTGCTCACTGCAGGGACACCATTTGAGCAAGGTATAGCGGTCTTGCGCATTTCACCGCCGTCGGTCATGGTGTCACCGCGCTTGACCCCGCCGTGGAAAGCTTCGCCCGTCCCTTCTCCATCCCTTTGTGTAGCCTGGTCGGGTTCGCCACCTTCTTGCAGACCCCGCGCGCACGCCCGCTTGCCCGGACATGGTCGGCAACGGCCGCCGGCCCGCTAGCAGCGCCCGCACCGCCGTGGCGCCTGGAACGCCGGCATGGCGTGGCGTCTCGCCTCGGCCGAGCTGGGCCAGGACGGCCTTGGGCCGAAGCCCCGAGCCAGGCCGCCGCCCTTCCCCATCGCTCGGTTGCGTAGGCCGAAAGTGGTCATGGGCCAGTTGTTCCCACGGGCCGGCCCAGTAGTAATAGGAAAAATGGATTTCAGTTTTTTATTATTATTTGGGAAGAGAAATACTTTGAAAAATGTTTGTGTACTCATTTTGGCTCCAAATTTGTTGAAACAAATTTTGTTGTGTTCCTTGTCACCAGATCTACATAATAAAACTATTGCATGTCATTTTTGAGATACTTTTCTGTAGAGCTTTATTTAATCCTTGATATTGCTGATATCTTGTAAAATGTGTAGTAAAACCTATATGTTTCAGAAAAATATGCTTCCAAGTGTGTTATTCTTCTTGTGTAATGTACTTCCAAGGAAAAATATATGCCATGTATGTCCTATAGAAAAATTGTGAGATGTAGTTCAAGTGCCTTTAATGACTGATTTTTGTTATTTTTGCTAAAGAGCAAAATTTGTATAAAACATGTATGTGATAATTTTTGTACAGTGATTATTTACTGTTTAGAACCTAGGAAAAATACTAAATCTATTGTTTGACACTTTTCATAATACAAAGTATTTTCATGCTCATAATTAGGTCCAAGCTTGTCATTTTTGTGTAGGCTATTCCAGTTATCCAAATGCCATAAAAATTTTATGATAGACTGCTTAGGGTAGCACTGTGCTGTGGTAATTTTCTAAGATTTTTCTAAGCTATAAAAATAGATATTGCTATTCAAACCTATTATTAATTTGGGTTTAATCAAATGTTGCCTTATGTGTGATTAAGAAATTAGTGAAGCTTTGGTGCATCTTTGAAGCATTTAATGAGATGTGTTGACTCAGCATATTAGTAGTAGAAGAGAATACAGTAGATGATATGTGCTTGTAGTATATGTTCTTGGATGATGTTGACTACCTTGCATTCCAGCATATCCATTGTGCTCTTTTCATCCGATGCACCTTTTGCATAAGCACTTACGCACATGCATAATACAGGATCGCAAACCAAGAACCCAGTCGTCATACCTGAGGAGCCTGAGGAATAGCTTGAGGAACGTTGAGGAACTTCCGGAGTGCCCCGATCACCGCCCGAGCTCCTTCGAGAGAGGCAAGCCCCGAAGCATTTTTCTCCCCGGTTTGCAATTATTAATTAAATATTTTACTTTAATTAATGCATTACGTTCAGGAGTTATTTGCAACCGTTGCTGCATTATACCTTGTCTACCTTTGTTATACTATATCCTTGTTACCCTGGTATCCGCAGTCGAGTCAATGCTTAGCTGGCTTAGACCGGTAGAAGTCGGGTGATTTCCTGTCACCTGCGAGCTATAGGTGGTTACCTGGATCTGCTTGGAGAACTATGTAGTCATGGTATAACTAAGTATTAAATGAAGTTGAGACCGGACGGAGACTTACAGAGTTTTGGGCTGTAGTGCTTTCCGTCTGTGTCGATTAAGGACCGACTATTGTTGGGCCTCAGGTCATGTTGAATGCATGCCTTATATTTAGCTGGCCAAATAAAGTACCTTTTGACTGCGAAGCTGGGAGATTATTCGGGCCGAGTAGATTGCCCGCAGTGCACTGTGCCAGAGCAGGTGTGGTAGGACACGGGGGCGCGATGATAAGACCAAAGGGCAGTCGGTCGGCCCCCAGGTACATGTGGTTTCTGGCAAACTCGAGATTCCTGGATAGTTGACTCGGTGACCGATACCTCACTTTAGCGGGTGAGTAAGGTTTGTGTAAGGAATAAACCACCAGCTGGTTAGGAATCGATTCGAATCGCCATCGCTCCTGGATAGTGAGCACTTGACTTGAGTGACTTCATCGTAGTAATGTTGATGGAATACTTGGACAGTTATAATGAATATGACATTATGAAAGTTGTTAATGATCATTGGTTATCATTATTTGTTTAATCACATGTTTGCTCTAGTATAGGTGCAAATGTAGTCGACAGGTTAATAATAATTAACTTGACAATAATGCTTTTGGAAAGGTTCTTGAAATACTAAAAATACCATTTTTTGCAAATGAGTCAGCTACCCTACTATAAAGCCCTTCATAATCCTTGGTGTCACTTTATTTTCGGTTATGTCGGGTAAGTCTAGCTGAGTACCTTCTCGTACTCAGGGTTTTATTCTCACTTGTTGCAGATGGGCAGATGTATTACGGCTACTGTATCAACTGCCTTTATCCTGCGATGGGTGATGCTTAGGACCATGGGCATGGTCATTCCTTACATCTCGTCTGATGCTTTTGTTGGAGATGATCATTAGCTGGCACTGTATTTGAACTCCGTGTGAGTGTGTGTGGTTTTGAACAAATAGCTTCCGCTACTTCTATTTGAACTCATTTTGTAATAACTATGTTTAAACTCTGATGTATTTGAGATGTGAACTTTTATGTAATATGTGATGGTGACCGCTAAACTTATTACGATCTTAGCTGGTATGTGAGTTGGTTTGAAATCCTTCATGATTTCACGGACTACCGGGTTATACGGGCTTAAGTTTGTTAAATCGTCTGCTCTAGCGGATGATTTTCTTACTTAATTTCGTATAATTGGTCGGTCCTATTACAGTTATACTAATCTATCTAAGTTACTAACACATCATGTATAGAAAGAGGACCAAGAAGACAATCACTATGTCTGGAAGGAAGAAGCAGAAGCCTAGTGAGGATGAACCAGCAAAGGAGGAAGAGGAAACATCAGCTCCCACCACTAAGGCAGCAACAACAATGACTACAAGCAAGAAGAAGAAAATTGCTGACAAAGAAACAACTAAGGATGGAGAGGTAGCAACAAAGGAACCTGTAAGGACACCAAGGACTAGAGCAGCAGCAGCAAGGGAGACAACAGTTAAGCAAGCACATGAAGGAGCTGTAGGCCAAGCTGTGCATGGATCAGCAGTGTAGGTGGATCAAGCACCAGGCAGCAAAAGGTTTGTTGCTTCCATTTACATCAACCAGCCACTAATGTACTGTGAGATGCACAAGCAACTAACTAGTTATTCACTTGCAGGAGGTTAGACTTGGATGAACCAGTGTCACCTGAGATAGTACCAGCAGATGAAGTTGCAGCAGTGCAAGCAGCCAAAAAAATAACCCCGAGGATGAAACAGCTAGCTACTAAGGTGAAGAAGGTAACACCAACAAAGGCTGGCAACTAAGGCATAACCACTGTTTGAATGACTGTTCTTTTATATGTATTTTGGAGACAGGAACTCCTATGACCAATTATGTATGGCTGTCATGGACATGTTATGTATGGCTATCATTGCCAGTATGGACCTGTTATGTATGGACCAGTTGTGTATGGCAACTGCTAAACCTAATAATGGATTAGCTTGGCATGCAAATTTCTGTCAATTTCATCATCTTGTTAGCTGTCATGGAATTTTTTGCTGTTGTCATGACAAAAGAACCATTTGATGCTACATACAATAGGCAACAATGTTCAGCATACATTTTTCCATTCCATTAACATGTTCAGCATACATTTACCTACTACTGAGAACAACCATTCACTTGAACACATACATTATGGCAACAATGCATATAACAAATAACACTAAAACCAACATCTTAAGCAAAGAAATCAGGGCATCCATCTTGGCTTCCATACTATTCTTCCCAGCACACTTTGACTGTGCTTCTTCTTCACCAAATCCCCAAGCTTCTTCTACTTCTTCTGCACCCAGGCCAGCTTCAAGATCAATGACAACAAACTTCAACTCCATCAGCTTCTTCAAGTATGCTTTCTGGAATTCATAGAACCTACATCTACCAGTCATCTGCAAAATACCCAACAGTTAGGGTTCTTCAACCAAACCCAAAACCAAAACCAAAACCAAAACCAAGAAAAATTCAAAATGGATCAAGGAAAAGCCTTACCCCGGGCACATTTCTGGGACACTTGAAGAACATGCGCCCCTGGTTGCCGTTCTCCGTTGTCCTCACTATCAGCTTGATTACCCTCTCTCTCTCTCTCTTGCATGTGGGACACATGATCAGCGGGAGCCTAGTCTCCTTCTCGGTGTCTTCCTCCTCGATAGCCCACGACGCCATGCTCCTTGATGAAGAGGGCTCCATCCTCTGAGCCATGGGGTTGAGGATCAACTAGGGAAATAGTGTTTAGGGGAGTGCAGGCAGTACCTAGTATGGTCTTCCTGCATCCAAGGAAGGGGAAGGAGACTCGATGCTGCCGCCGCCGCCGCGTCCGCCACAGCCACCGTCGCCATTGCCAGGAGTGGGGAAGAAGGGAGAGTGGACTGGGTTTGACTCGGGGCTGGGTCGGCCGGAGACAGAAGAAGGAGGCGAGGGCAGCGTGGTCATTTCACATGCCAAGTTAGGGCTCCCAGGCTCCCTGCCACGCTGGCGTGCCTATCTAACGTGCCACCTTAGTAAAAACGTAGGAGGGTTACTGTTTGCGATGGCAAATATGTAGGGGCGTGCACAAATATGGCAAACGGGGGAGTGCCATCCGTAAGAATGGCAAAAAGTAAAAATCCCGTTGTGTCGCGACCGCGATTGAGGCAGATGAATTTGTTGGGCCGTGGGTCCCATGGGGGTGTGGAGCGTTCGAGAGGCTGGGCACTTGGGCGGATGTGGCGGGCATCGGTGGTAGCGAACAAGATCGGACGGGCAGGAACGATTTATTATTGATGAACAGGGATCTACGAGGGAGCTGCGGGTGCACAGTGTTTTTCAAAAAACAAAGATCAACATCACATGTATATTATGTCAACATCACAAAATGCATCTAGAACATCACTTATATACTAAATGAACATCATAAAATACATCTAGAACATCATATGTGCATTACGTGAACATCACAAAAATACATCATAAACATATATACCACGTGAACATCATAGAATATGTCATAGAACATCACATATATGCTACGTGAACATCATAAAATATATCATGTGAACAACACAAAAAATAATATAAAACATCACATGTATATTACGTGAACACCACAGAATACATCACAGAACATCATTGTATACTTGGTGAATATGACATCTCATGGAACATAGCAAATAAAAAATTAAACATGAAAAAATAATTAAGTAAGTTAAAATAGAAAAATAGAAAATAAAAAATCTATAGAAAACATAAAGACAAAAGAGAAAAAAAAAAAGAAATACAAAAAAGAATAAAATATAAAAATAAAATAAGATAAAACAAACACAATAATTAATTATAGTAAAAACAAAAAGGAAATAATATAAATAAAAATATAAAAATGAAAAGAATAATGAAAAATCACATGAAACAAAAAACAAACAAAAAGAAAAAAATTGAAGAAAGGAAAAAAAAGAAGAAAAGGAAAGAAAAGAAAACAAAACAAAAAAGAAATAAGATAAACATAAAAATGAAAAATGAAAAGAATAATAAAAAATTAGATAAAAGAAATAAATAAATATAAATAAAGAATGGAGCACAAAAAGAAAAAATAATAATAAAATAAAATAAAATGAAAGAAAAGAAAAAGAAAAAGAAAAGAAAAGGAAAAGAAAAGAAAAAAGAAAACATACGTTTATATATATAAAAGAAAGAAAGAAAATCCGTGCTTGCGCTCGCTCTGTCGCTCGTGCATGTGGGCCGCACGTGGGGCCTCGCTGAAACGCCGTGCAAGCAGCAGCGCGTGTCGTGATTTGCGCGGGATAATTCGCACGCTCGCCGTTCGGCGCGGGGCTACCGTTCGGTCGTTCGGACCGGATGGTTTCGGCACACAGAGCACATTTGGCGGGAGAAAGAAGAAAAATGGCTCGTTCGACTGGTTGAAAAACCAGCCGGATTTCATCGTGCGCGTATGAAAAACACTATTCACTCTCTCACAAATTCCTTCAGATTCATCCAAATTTCTCTAAATTCCTCTCAGCGAACAGGGGCAAAGACGACGCAGCGGACCGATGGACCGGACAGTGTGGTAGGGTGTATGTGTGTGTTCATTGCAGGAGGTTGTGCGTCCCTCTCGGAGAGTTGAAGGCATCTGCCGTACCAATTTCATCCTTCCTTAACTTGTTCCTAATAATCACTTCGCGATCGGCATTTAGGCCTTGTTTAGATGTCATCTAAATTCCAAGTTTTTTTACTCTCTCTCCATCACATCAATTTTTAGCCGTTTGTATGGAGTATTAAATATAGATAAAAAATAACTAATTACACAGTTTAGTTGGAAATCATGAGATGAATCTTTTGAGCCTAGTTGATCCACGATTGGACAATATTTGCCAAATAAGACGAAAATGGCACTATTCATCGGGTTCACTTTTTTCAATCTAAACAAGGCGTTAATTCTTCGAGCATTACGTGGACCACCACGCCACGCTATGCCTGCGAGCGCCAGCAGCAGGGTGGCGGCGTGCCAGGGCCATGTTTAGATTGCAAAAAATTTCAACCCGATGAATAGTAGCACTTTCGTCTTATTTGATAAATATTGTCCAATCGTGGATCAACTAAGCTCAAAAGATTCATCTCGTGATTTCCAACTAAATTGTGCAATTAATTATTTTTTTTACCTACATTTAATGCTCCATGCAAACGGCTAAAAATTGATGTGATGAAGAGAGAGTGAAAAAACTTGAAATTTTGAGGGTATCTAAACAAGGCCCAGATGCCCCGAGACGGCCGTCGGCGAGGAACAGTCGCCGGTTGGTCGCGGTAGCCTGTCTCAGCTTTGGTACAGATTATAAGCTGCTGATGACTAAAATAAGTTGAATTCAATAGCCAAATGTTATGTTTTTCAGCAGCTTATTCTGGCTACGCTTATTTTTACAGCTCCCATTTATAATAAAAAACAGAAGCTAAATCAGACCAGCTTATTTTAACTGTCGTTTTCACTCTATTTATGCAGCTTACTTAGAAACGCTCGGCATGAGTGATCGGCACAGCGAGGACCCCACGAGGAGCACGACAGCTAAAAAACTGGGTGGGCTGGGCTCAGCTTGGGCCTTGGGGCTGGGAAAGGCTACTAGGCCCATTGGACTACATGTATGAGGCTGAGTATATAAAAAAAACAAAGGGCCCTTTTATGCTTTTACCTTCCTAAATTATAGCAGCAAAACCATTTAAATTATCTCCTTTGCTCACACAAAAAAAATTATCTCCTTGTCCTGGTTTGAAAAGATTTTCAAGGTGGTGCCAAGTCAAGAGGGTTCCGTGTCACGACGGTCACCATGACCGTGGCAACAAATCGGCAAAGGGACCATACCTTCAAGCTAATATCCTTACTTATGTCCAATACACTCTCATCTTGTTCATGCATCTTGCATTGCAATCCTATCATCATGTTTTACTTAGGCAGTCGTGTAGGAACAGAAGTAGCCAAGAAGAAGATAAACTTGGAGCCTGAGTATGAGTCTGTGGCCAAACCTGGACTCCTCCACACTCATAGTCAATGCTCAAGGCAGGTACCTAAGCATTCTCCCTCTTTTACACATGAACTTGACCATATGCTATTTATTGCATGTTTATTATCTATCGTATGATCATGACCTAGTACATTTAGTTGTAGGCTTTCATCATTTTTTGTTCTTAACATTCCTTGGAGTACTATTTTGCATTCTTATAATGTAATCTTACTTACTATCATATTTGGTCAGTAGAGTCCAAGTATGTGACAAGGACATCACTCCTTGCGAGTTGTACAAGTTGCTTGATCAATGAACGTGTAGAGGAGTAAAGAGCTAAAAGATTGTCCTAGGGTTGTAGCGAGATATGGTCTCAGATGGCACACAACTTGTTCGTTTCGGCTGGATTGACTTATAAGCCATGGCTGAAAGTGCTGCTAGTTGGTTTGATGTGAGAGAAAAATACTGTTCATTGGCTGATAAGCAAAGCTTGTAAGCCGAATACAGGCTGCCGAACAGGCTGATAACTCGTTCGAGCAGGTTAAGGACCGCATCAAAGCACACTCTCGTACCCACCGCATGCTACGTGTGGGCATGGTAAGACTATTAGCACATTGCGACTGGATAAATTGATGGGTGTGGTGTGCATTGGTATGAGGCGTGTGAGATGCCGATACTTCTGCTCATTGAACAACCTGTCTAAATGTGCGAAATGTTGGGGCAATGAGTTGCCCATTGTGGGCCGATGCTTTGTATAGGAGGTAGCCTGATTCTTGTGTAGGGAAATTTGAACCCTTTTTGCGAGATGTTATTTATCATTTTGAAATGACGCACTCTTAGATATGAACAAGCTCTTCAATGTATATGGAGATGTCTTTGCCTACCATTGATAGGCCGGCATGTCACTGAAGTTGTTGCGTTGGCACGATTGATGTCCGACCACCACGAGATGGCACCTAGTCCGGGTTGTCTCGTTGGATTTTAGAGATATGCGAGTTGTTTGTATTGTATTGCACTATTTTTCACCTTCTTTTGCAAAAGGATGATGAAGTTTTATACATTTTGACCATCACACTTCGAGGTATACTTGATAATAAGGGCAACCATGCCAAACTTTTGTTTGTAGTAGGAATGTAGGTAGATAGATGATTCTGAGCTATATACTGAGTATGGGGTTCTAGGTCACTTAGAGTATACTGGATTATTTTCCTTTTCAAGGGTTATGTATACCATTTTGGTACAAAGGCCATTTTTTTTCTTCTAAAATCTCTATTGTCTAAAAATAATATTACACTAATAAATGGAAACTCAATCACGCGATGCGTCGCACGGAAGCACGAGCGCGCGATGCGCCACGTCGTCTTCTTCCTCGCGACCCCGCCACATCATCTTCAACCTCTGTTCGAGAATCTATGCCCAGCGGGCTTAAAAGAAGGAGGGGTCTTGGGAGGCGGCCGGATTGGCGGTGGTGTCGGGTTGATGGGGCAGCGAGCGGGGCGTGCGCGGGACAACCGGATGGGGTGAAGCCGGCAGCGAGGCGAGATGCTCGAGCTATGGCTCATCCGGTCAAGGTTAGGCAGGGGCAGAGCCAGTGGAGGTGAAACTGGGCTCTGGCCTCCCTTGCCCGTGAGAACTTTGTTTAATAGGGACTGCATAGACTAGCGACTGTCAAGGTGTTAGCAGCTGCAAGGCTGCACAAAACCAAAATGAAGGTATGTCTGAACCTCATCTGCGGCA